AGTATGAAACACGAAGGCGGCGAGAGGCGGACTAGCCTCCGCGCGAGACTGCAGCTTGGCGGCTGCGCCGTCCAACAAGACCATTTCGGACGCTACTTCGAGATCGACACCAGAGTACTTGGTGGGATTGTCGAATATATGGCGTGTGAAGAACCCAAAATCAGATAGTGCGATCAAAGGGACCTTCCCTTGACCAAGAGGAAGGTCCCAGACGAGTGAATCGTCCGGTTGACGCCTTGGGAGGAAGAGCTGCGTAATAGATAGGATCATAAGATTGTATTTAAAGTAGATGGTTTGTATTAGATGGACTTACACCGTTCAGAAGCATGTCCATATAAGGACCAGAGGTTAGAATCGACCACACGGTTCCTTCCTCTACGGTTTTTGCAGATGGTTGAGCCTTCAAGAAGTCGGCAACCCTCCCTTTCGCGTCGTAATGGCCACAACGGTATTTAGGATCAAAGTTCCCTTTCTATATTGGCTTCGTTAGTCCATGGTCAACCAGATCAACCAGACAGTCTAACCTTTGACATGTAGTCCAAGTTACTCCAAACATAATGCTTCACCCCACGTTCCTTGGCGAGTTCATAAATGCGGAAAGCAGCGAACAGCTCTTCCTTTTCGCCAATAGTAAAGCCGTCGGTGTTGACGAACGCGCCGTACACTCCCTCAAGAGCATTATAAATCGATGGTAAGTCTTTGACGGAACCTAATGCATGTGGAAAAACTTGTAAGCATCGATTCTGGCTTTGGTGTGGTTGAGGACGAAAGCCAAATGGAGCACCCACCTGTGACCAACTCGCATCCCAAGTTCTGCAGCTCCGCTGCACGCCAGTTAGAAGGATCCCGAGTAACAACTCGAACTGCATAGGGGCTTGGTTCTCCATCCTTTCCTGGAGACAAGAGGGCTTTAATTGCAGGAATACCTTGCGCACCTAGTTCTACTGTTAGTGAACATGTAACGACAATATAGGTAGCAAACGTACCGGTCCCACCGATGAAGAGTATAAGTTTCTTTGACATGTTTAGTCGTACTGGATAGAATTTGTTTCTGGATTTTAGAATAGATGGATACTTGGACTACTTATATAGGTCGTAGTGTGCGCCGTACATTTCGGAGGTCCCTCATAGGGTGTATTCGGCCATACGAAGGCTTACAAAGTTACATAAGCCCAGCAATTATGATTACTTCATTCGGTTATGACAAGAGGCCGGATACGTGCCACCACCGAGGTATCGGTCCCCGACCATCGAGATGTTTTATGGTGCCATGCCACTAGAGTGGTACCATTATCAAGAATTCGGAACAAAACAGCTCATTTTATATAGCATTTATAATCCACCGATAAATACGCCCGTGCTCCATGAACAGAAGGTTGATTGTCCAGTTATGCGCTTGTCCCCGACAATGGACGGAAAAGAGTCTATGGATCATCCTGAGGCCATCTCACAAGGGGGAGCATAGTTTCTTAAAATAGGTTTCATGACAGCCTAAGAATTGCATTGATTATTAAGAGTTAGTTATGTCGCTATCAGGCATGTTTACTATCAAATAATACGATATAACCCAATTGCTGCAATCAGGGTCAAATGTCAAATCCACCTGTAGACCGTCGTCGTTACAATACTCGCTAACATTCTATCCCTAAGTTGGGTAAGACATGCTCATCATTGTTTCAGCGAGGTGGTACAAACTGTTCAGTAATTCCATCTCAATCACGAGTGCCAGTGGAGGAAAGGAAGGAGTTGCAGAGGCGGAGGTAAAGACAAGTTGGAAAGAAACTCGAAATATATTGCCACATGGAGATATGGAGATGTATCTCTGATCTACTTATCTTGTTTGCTTTCAACAATTTGGGTGGCTGGCCAATCGGGTGGCAGGCTGTCCAACATCAACTGACCTTACCATGTCTACAAAATCCACAGAACAGTACTCACAAACCGCTC